TTTACACCATATCTGCGTCCCCGAAGCCATAAACCTTCGAACATTACACCGTATTCGCATTGCCGAGGCCAAGAGTGCTCGAAGGCGCCCGAAAGTTGATGAAAATAGTTCCAAGCGAGCCCAAAGAGGCCACAAGAGCGCTCCAAGAGACCTCCCGAGAGAGCCCCGAGAGGCCATCATCGTAGATTTGTCATAAAGGTGTTTTAAGGATTTTGGCCTTCTAGTATGTTCGGCTTCCCGACGCTCCACGACGGGTCAAGAAGCTCCCCAGACCGCCCCAAGACAGCCCAAGACGCCTCCAAGAGGGCCCCAAGACGGCCCAAGAGGGTTCCAAGATGGCCCAAGAAGCGCTCAAGACGGCCCAAGAGGGCCCCGAGACGGCCCCAAGAGGGGCCAAAGCAGGGGACCACGAACCGAACATTCGATATTTGTGCCCCGAGCAGCCTTTAGGAGGCCGCCAAGAGGCCCCAAGAGGCGCCCAAGACACGCCCAAGAGGCTTCTGCGAGGCCCAAGATGCCTCACGAGGCCCCAAGAGGTCCCCAAGAGGCGCCCAAACCGCCTTCAAGATGCCCCCGAGAGGCTCTCCACGACAACACATGTACAAGAGGCCTCAGATCCACAACCCAGGCACGGTGGCGGGATGGGCCGAAGAAGGCCACTCGGATCCGCCGCCCCTTGTTGGCTTGCCACAGTGGTGCCCAGCGTGCTGGAGGATCCTTTCGGTTTTGGTGTATGTTGTTCCCAACCATCCTGTGGTGTTGGGTCCTCGTTTTGAAGAGACGGTCCCCGCGTTCTCCTCCTCTCGTGCCCCCCCCCTCCTCCTTACCGTCCGCATGCGTCCCGCACACCCAGTACAGCGTTTCGTGGCCCTCCTCCCCCTCCTCCCTGCGTTTCACCCACCCAGTACAGCGCGTCGTGGCCCCATTGGGAACCCCACCGAAGGTCCCAGCGCTACCGTCCGCATGAGTCCCGCACACCCAGTACAGCGTTTCGTGGCCCCATAAGGAGCCCACACCGAAGGTCCCAGTGCTACCGTCCGCATGCGTCCCGCACACCCAGTACAGCGCTTCGTGGCCCCATAGGGAGCTCCACCGAAGGTCCCAGTGCTACCGTCCGCATGCGTCCCGCACACTCAGTACACCCACCCACTACAGCGCTTCGTGGCCCCATAGGGAGCCCCACCGAAGGTCCCAGTGCTACCGTCCGCATGCGTCCCGCACTACAGCGCTTCGTGGCCCCATAAGGAGCCCCACCGAATGTTCCAGCGCTACCGTCCACATGCGTCCCGCACACCCAGTACAGCGTTTCGTGGCCCTCCTCCCCCTCCCCCCTGCGTTTCTCCCACCCAGTACAACGTTTCGTGGCCCCATAGGGAGCTCCACCGAAGGCCCCAGTGCCCCCGTCCGCATGCGTCCCGGAAGCCCCATTTGGCATTTTCACGCACCCAGTGCAGCGTTTCGTGGCCCTATAGGGAGCTCCACCCAAGGCCCCAGCGCCACCGTCCGTTTGCGTCCGGGAGATGTAATTTGGCATTTTCACCCGCGCAGTGCAGCGTTGCGTGGCCCCATAGGGGGCTCCACCGAAGCCCCCAGTGGGACCGTCTGCATGCGTCCCGGTAACCAAATTTGGCATTTTCACTCACTCAGTAGAGCGCTTCGTGGCCCCATAGGGAGCTCCACCGAAGCCCTCAGTGGGACCTTCCGCATGCGTCCCGGAAACCCAATTCGGCACACCACCCACACAGTACAGCGTTCCCCCTTGCCCAGTGCAGCGTTTCGTGGCCCCATAGGAAGCTTCACCGAAGCAGATATTCACAATTACGGTACCCACAACTGCATATGGTTGGGACCTTCGCCAGGATAATTTTTCAAAGGACTCTCCCCCGGGGCTTCGGCCCGCCCCGCTGGCCACCCAGAAGGCGCGGAATGTGCAAAACAAATCCCCCAACACGGCCACGATGGCCCTAGATGGCCTCCAAGATGTTTCCAAGACGGCCAAAATGCCTTCCAAGACGGCCAAGATGGCCCAAAAATGCTTGCAAGACGGCCCAATATGCACCCAATACGGTCTAAGATAGCCTCAAGGTGGCGCAAGACGGCCCTAGAGGCTCCCAAGAGGCCCACAAGACGGCCCAAGAGGTCTCCAAGAGAGCCTCCAGGAAGGCCCGAAGAGGCCAACATCATTGATGTTCCGTCGGCTTTTGAAGGATTTTGGCATTTGCTTCTTTTCGGCCTTCCGACGGCCTGAGACGGCCCAAGAGCCCCCAAAGATCGCCCCAAGATCGCCCAAGAGTCCTCCAAGATTGCCCCAGAACGGCCCAAGGGGTCCCCAAGACCGCCTCGGGAGGGCCCCAAGACTGCCCAAGAGGCCTCCAAGACGCCCAAGATGGCCTCCAAGATGGCCCTGGAGCACCCCAAGAGGGCCCCCAGTCGGCCCAGAGAGGCCCCCAAGACAGCTTCCGACGGCGTCAGACGGCCCAGGAGCCCACCAAGACGTCCCAAGATGGCTATAAGATGCCCCAAAACGGCCCAGGGGGGCCCCCAAGAGGCCTTCAAGGCGGCCCGAGAGGTGGGCCTCCCAGGAAGGCCCGAAGGTGTCAAAATCATTGATTTTCAAAAAGGTTTGTGAAGGCGTTTGGCACGTGCGTCTTTTCGGCAGTCCGACGGCCCGAGACGGCCCAAGAGCCCCCAAAGATCGCCCAAGAGGCCTCCAGGACGGCCCCAGAACTGCCCAAGAGGCCCCCAAGACGGCCTCAAGGCGCCCAAGAGGCTTCCAAGACGCCCAAGACTGCCTCCAAGACGACCCTGGAGCACCCCAAGAGGGCCCCCACTCGGCCCAGAGAGGCCTCCAAGACGGCTTCCGACGGAATTGGACGGGCCAGGAATGTCCGGAGACGGTCAAAGGGGCCCCATAACGCCAATGTTTCAATATGCGTTGATGATCCCTATCCGCCCCCGCACGATGCTCCCAGATGCGCCAAGGCAGCGCCGAGTCGCACCGACGCGACTATGATATATCCCATTATGGTCGAGAGGGGACCGGTGGCACGGGGCGAAGCCTTTACATATATGTACATTTGGATTCGCATACATACATACATCTGTATATCTACATATAAATAAAGACCTATGTATGTGTGTTTATGGATGAACGTTGGATGTTTGAGTCCTTGCATCGCCCATCTCTCCCCTCCACAATCATTGTGGCTCAGACCGACAACGCGTCAGCGAGAGCCCTTGTCGTGGACCCCAACACTCTGGCCAGTCCTGGCTTGGCCAGTCCTGGCACGTCAGCATGGTAAGGCTCCGGGTGGCGCCTAGGCAGCCCCCCCCCCTTCGGTAGGCCCAGTTGGCCTCGGCAGGCCCCCGGAGCAGTCCGGGGTGGTCTCAACACCCCCACATTGCGATGTGGAGGCCCCAGGGACGCTGCAGGAGGGAGAGCCAGGGCGCTGAGAAGGAGAAACAAAACTACATCACAGAAACTTCTGGCTCTCCGCGAGGATTTCTTGGATCTGCACTGAACCCCCCTCCGCCCCGGGAACATTCGGGGGGCTTGTTCGAGGCCAGCCAGGACTACCTGGGGCGGGGCTGCTTGCGCGCAGCCTGAAGCCTTGTCAATCTATACATTCCAAGCAAATCCGGTTTTCATTGTCCTTGCGATGCAGGTGACAGTGGTAGTGAAGAACACCTTTGTCGATGCCGTTGTCTCCGAGGTGGCGGGCGAATCTGCAGACGGGGGCATGCGCCGCACCAGCTCGTGTCCTTCTCTTGCCACGGCTTCGACGACTTCCCGAGAGCATGCAAACAGCAAGGGCTCCTGCGCAGCTTTGCCGCTCTGCAAGATTGGCGATTGGGCTGACCTCTCTTCGGATTCAGGCGAGGAGGATCACCCTTATGTCATGTCCAGGGTGGGACTCGGCAGCTTCGGCTTCGATGACTGTATGGGCTTCGCCAATGAAAAAGTCGATGTTGCCATCAACGTCGGCGAAAAGACGCCTTCAGCGGTAGAGTTCGTCCCTGGGCCAGCGTCTGAACAGGAACGCACACCTCTCAGCGTCAAGGCTTCGGCTTTCACCCCACTCAGCAGCAAGGCCACGGCGTACGTTCCACGCTCTTTCCAGATGGTGGGCAAATCTCCAGACTCTACTGCTCCTGACGCCCCGCCAGAGGCATCAACCGAACCCAGCGCACCTACTACAGTGATGTTGCGCCATTTGCCATGCGGCTTCACCCGTGATATGTTGCTTCGGGCTTTGGACAAAAAAGGTTTCAGAGGGCAGTATCCGTTTGCTTGCGGCAGGTTCCGCCACCGTGCCGGAGCAGCTTGCTTTATGATGACGCTTGGAGCATCGTCCAAAAAGCTGTAACAGATGACTCTCTTGTGTGGATTTTTTCAAAGGCTCTCATGGGGTCGACCTTGGGTTCTTTGGGCTCCTGTGGCATGGGCCGTCTTGGAGCCGTCTTGGGCCGTCTTTGGGCCCTCTCGGGCTCTTGGGCCGTCTTGCGGTCCCCTTGGGCCGTCTCAAGCCCCCCTTGGCCGTATGGGAAGTCTCCCGGGTTTTGAGGATCCTCCCTGAGAACCATCTTGGAGCCCAGCCGGCGCAGCAAATCAACCGCCCTCGAATACCAATTGACGCCTTCAGGTTTCCGGGTGATGTTGGCATTCCGGGAGAGCTCATTGGCCGCGCCTCTTGCTGTCCTCTCGGAGGTGTCTGGGTGCCTCCTGAGACAATGTTGGTGTCATTTGGGCGGCTTCGGTGGCCCCCCGTGGCCGTTTTGGAAGGCATGGCGAGCTGTCCAGGGATGCGTCGGGCAGCCCAAAGAGCTTCGGGGGGGGAGGGACGATGCACGTGACAGTGTCTGAGAAGAGGGGGGTCAGCCCTCACAAATCTGATATAATCCCTGCCAAACAGCACCTCGCGTTCTTCCGCGCCTTAGCGTGCCAGGGGGCACGGTGGTGGATAATTTCGTCTACATGCCTATGGACTTCAGGAGGGGAAAGAGCACACAGACACAAATAAACGTCGATTCGCATGAACATATTGGAAAACATTAGGAAGGGGTGGAGAGGACGAAATCCCAGAAAAGATTGAAACATCTGGGGTACCCTAGGGTTTGTGTCTATTTTGTGTGTGTCCCATGGCCCCGTCAGGACTTCAGAAGCAAGATGGGCCTAGGATACGCCTTTGTGAACCTGCACGACAGCGAGCAGGTGCAGCTCTTGATCCAGAAGTTCGACGGCAAGCGACATTGGTCGCGCGCTTCTTCCGCGAAGGTCTGCCAAGCGACTCTGTCCCACATGCAGGGCCTGGAGGCGAACATCAACCGTTTCCGGAACAGCCCCATCATGAGCGACGAGGTCGAGGAGTGTTTCAAGCCGCTTTTCTTCGTCGGCGCGAAGCAGGTACCCTTCCCCGAGCCGACCAAGGAGGTGCCACCCGTCTTGCATCGGCCCTCAGCCCCGAAATGCTGGGAGGGATCGGTGCAGCGGGCACCGCCGGCCGCCTGAGGTGTCTCACGCCGAGATGCGGGGTGCACCAGTGTAGGGTCTCTCTGCGGCCGCCATACCGGGGGCAGCACCCAGCCACAAGCTCCTGCAGTCCGAGCACGGGGCGACGAGAACCCAGACGTGATCGCTTCGTACATAATCCAGGCGAAGGACACAACCATGTGCAGCGTGGGCACCGCAATTGTGAATATCTTCTTCGGTGAAGCTTCTCATGTGGCCACGAAGCGCTGAACACATGCGGGCGGTAGCACTGGGGCCGTCGGTGGAGCTCCCTATGGGGCCACGAAACGCTTTACTGGGTGGGTGAAAACGACAAATTGGGTGTGTGGGCCGCATGCGGCCGGTCCCACTGGGGGCTTCGGTGGAGCCCCCTTATGGGGCCACGAAATATTATCTTGGGTGGATGAAAACATGCCTTAATGATTGTGTGGGACGCATGCGGGCGGTCCCACTGGGGCCTTCGGTGGAGCCCCCTATGCGGCCACGAAGCGCTTTACTGGGTGGGCGAAAATGCCAAATTTGGTTTTCGGACGCATGCGGACGGTCCCAGTGAGGGTTTCGGTGGAGATCCCTGTGGGGCCACGACGCGCTATACTGGTATGGTGAACATGTCAAATTGGGTGTATGGGGCGCATGTGGGCGGTCCAACTGGGGGTTTCGGTGGAGCTCCATATGGGGCCCCGACGCACTTTACTGGGTGGGTGAAAATGCCAAATTGGGCGTCTGGGACGCATGCGGGCGACGGCACTGGGGCCTTCGGTGGAGCTCCCTATGGGGACACGAAGCGCTGTACTGGGTGGTCGAAAATGCCAAATTGGGTTTTCGGGGCGCATGCGGACGGTTCCATTGGGGGATTCGCTGGAACTCCCTATGGGGCCATGAAACGCTGCACTGGGTGGATGTAAATGCGAAATTGGGTTTTCGGGGCGCATGCGGACTGTGGCACTGGGGCCTTCGGCGGGGCTCCCTATGGGGCCACTTAACGTTGTATTGGGCAGGTAAGAGTGCCAAAGTGGGCTTTCGGGACGCATGCGGACGGTCCCAGTGGGAGCTTTTGTAGCTCCGCATGGGGCCACGAAGCGCTGCAGTGGGTGGGCGAAAATGCCAAATTTAGTTTTCGGGACGCACGCGGACGGTCCCAGTGGGGCCGTCGGTGGGGCTCCCTATGGGGCCACGAAGCGCTGTATTGGGTGTGCGGGACGCATGCGGATGGTAGCGCTGGGACCTTCGGTGGGAGTCCCTTTGGGGCCACGAAACGCTGGGGTGTGCGGGACGCATGTGGACGATAGCACTGGGACCTTCGGTGGGGCTCCCTATGGGGCCACGAAGCGCTATACTGGGCGGGTGAAATACAGGGGGGACGGAGGAGGGGGCCACGAAACGCTGTACTGGGTGTGCGGGACGCATACGGACGGTAGCACTGGGACCTTCAGTGGGGTTCCCTATGGGGCAACGAATCGTTGCACTGTGTGGGTGAAACGCAGGGAGGATGGAGGAGGGGGCCACGAAACGCTGTACTGAGTGTGCGGGACGCATGCGGGCGGTAGCACTGGGACTTTCGGTGGGGCTCCTTATGGGGCCATGAAGCGCTGCACGGGGTGTGCGGGACGCATGCGGATGGTAGCACTGGGACCTTCGGTGGGGCTCCCCATGGAACCACGAAACGTTGTAGTGGGTGGGTGAAACGCAGGGAGGAGGGAGGAGGGGGCCACGAAACGCTGTACTGAGTGTGCGGGACGCATGCGGGCGGTAGCACTGGGACCTTCGGTGGGGCCCTCTATGGGGCCACGAACGGAGTAGAGGAGAGGAACGCGGGTCACCGTCTCTTCAAAACGAGGACCCAACCCCACAGGATGGTTGGGAACAAATCAGGACGGGAGGTGTTTGGCCATTTTCGACATCGGGGGAACCTCGCCGGGCCTCGGGACCGTCAAAGAACGACTCGAGAGGAAAAACCGTTCCCGGGGAAAAGGTCGGGACTTCAGGGACCCCGCATGGAAAACATGAGGACGCCGCAGGTCCGAGAGTAGTGTTGGTGCGCGGACCCCGGCCAGGCCCGTCCCGTGCCCAGGAGCTGTGTCTGCAGGATGGCCCCTGGAGAATTCGAGAAGGCGCGCACAGCCCTGGCCAAAATGAAAGGCCAAGAGGCGTGCACATAGGTTCGATGGTCTTGGGCGCAGGGGGAGCTCGGTCGGAGCGGGGCAGAGGCGCACAGCACTCGCCCAGGGCTGGCTCGGCAGGCAGCCCAGCACTCCCCCGACGGAGGAGGGGGAGGAGAGAGGTGGAGAGGGGGGATCGCAGGTGGACTATGGAATTCCAGTGGGCCCCAGGGGCGCCCTCTCATCCTCATCCTCCCTACTCCATTCTTTCTTTGCACAGGGCGGAGCGTCGGGTACTGAATCTTCTCACTCGCGCCCGACCCTGGGACCCGCTGTCAGCAGGCTGGGGCCACGTCCCTTTAGCTTCGAGAGCGTGCCGATCTGTGCGGCATTTGAGGCCGAGCCCTTTGGGGCATGCACCGTTCTCATTACATAGTCTTACTAGTCGAGGCTCTGGCTGCTCTGGTGACTCGTGCGCCAACGCTTCCGAATCCTTGCGCCAGGCTGTGTTTGCGCCAGCTGCCCGCTCGGAGCCGCTCCTTCTCGGATAGGAATCGGCAGTGGAGGATGTGCGTCAAGAGAGGACTTCTCCGCCGCCCAGGCTCCACCGCAGTAACCACTAGACTAGCATGGTTGCCACTCCGCTCCGCAGGCATACTGGGCGTTCACCACCCAGCTTCTCGCCGCACTCGGGGGCAACGCTCGGAGTGGATAGGCTCATATCGGGGGGAGGCGTCGACCCCAATCGTCCACTCATCGCCGATAGGGGCCCGATACATAGCCCATCCCTCCCAGGAACGTTCGAATTCGATATCGGCGGCCTATAGCCGATCTATCGGCGATGCTCGTCAGTTCCAGCTCGATGGTTCCCCCCTGAGCCGGTCCCCCCCCCCGATAGTTGCCCCTCACGCACGAGCAGCTTCATGTGGCATTTCTCCTTGCTCGCTTCCTTGCTATCGTGGTGGTCCTGCTCCTCGCGGGGGCGCGCGCCAGAAAACGATCCGGCAGACCTGGGCCGGGCCCCCAGACAAGCCAGCTCAGCATACCGCAAGCGGCTGGCTGGTGTGCCTGGACCGGCCCGGGTTTGTGCGACTGTTTCTGCTGCCCCCCCTGTCGGGTGTTGCTAGAAGTACCCCTGGCCCAAGGTACCCCCAGGATCCTCGGGGTGGCCCCGACGGCCTCCAGGGCCCCCCTCACGAGGCCCAGAGGGCCCCAGGGGCTCAAAAATGATGCGAAGAGCTGGGGGCACCTTGGGCCAGGGGCACTTCTAGCAACACCCGACCCTGCTCCATCCAGACCTCCGACGTCGTGATGTGCTTCACCACGCGGGCAGCCGACAGCTTCTTCGAATCCTGGAGCGTTCCTTGAGGGCCTTCGGGCCTCAGGGCCAGCGAGGGCCCCCCAGGGGCCGAGGACTGCCAAAAGCCTCCTGTCCTGGTGATCGATCCTCGTCGCAGCGACCGGAGGTCTGGGTGCCAGGAGTCCAGGCCTCCTAGATGGGGTCGGAGTAGATGGGGTCGAAGGATCGCGCCGCATCGCCGATGCATCGGCGATGCGGCTTGATGTGGAGCCCGTGTTTCCCCACGCCGACGTCGCCGATGCATCGGTGACGTCGTCGATGCAGCTCCGGCGCATCGCCGATGCATCGCCGATGCATCGCCGATGTATCGGCGATGCGGCGAGATCCTCCGACCCCATCCTACTCCGACCCCATCTAGGAGGCCTCTAAGGAGGCCAGACGGGACGGGGCTGTCCTGGGCAAAGGGGCTGGGTGCGCACGCGGACGCAGTCCTTGAGATCCGACGCCGTAAACAAAAAGTTGCAGCATCGTGGAGAATCACGATCGGAGCCTCAGACCCCCATCTGTCTGCGGCATCTCTGGGACCAGATTGATCTGTGAGGGTCCCAGGGCGTTCGCGGGGCGAGAAAGCCCGGTGGGACAAAAACCCAGACATTCGATGTCTGTGGTTCTTTCAATCCAGGTTCAACGAGGTCCTGGCCTTTTCCCCAGAGGGTCCGTTTTTCCAGCCCGAGTCATTTCTTGACGGCCTCGGGGCCCGACGAGGCCCGCCCCCCAGAGGCCGAAAGTGACCAACCGCCCCTCTGGCGAATTTTCTGAGATCCGACGTCATTAGCGAAAAAGTTGCGACATCGTTAAAATCACGACCAGAGCCCCAGACATAATCTTTCTGTGGCATCTTTCGAGCCAGACTGATGTGTGAGAGTCCCAGGGCCCGAAAAACGGCGAAGTCGGCCGTCATGAGAGAGGTGCAGCGCCCAGATCTCAGGGTTTCTGCACGACGACGTGTGGTGAGGCCTAGGGTTGCGCACGCATAGCCCCCACAGGTAGTCCCGGTTGGCCTCAACAGATCCCCTGTAGCCCCAGCTGGCCTCAACAGGCTCCTCGAGTGGACCAGGGCGGGCTCAACACCCTGGCGCCGCCTCCGGCTGCGGCGCTGGGGCGTTCCGCCCCAGCAGGGAGGAGGTGCTGAGATCGCCCCAGATTGTTCGGGGGTCCTGTTGAGGCCAGCTGGGACTACTCGGTGCTTGGGGTCCTCGGGGCTGTCTGCGCGCAGTCCAGATCTCGGGATTTCTTTGCGACCTGGGCGCTGCTTCATGGGGGTTGAATAGAGGTGCACCCTGTTTGACTTGAAGGAGCCCCGATGGGGCAATCTGGGGGGAGGAGGAGGAAGAGGAGGAGGAGGAGGAGGAAGGAGGAGGAGGAGGAGGGAGGAGGGAGGAGGGAGGAGCAAGGAGGGAGGATGGAAGGAGGAGGAGGGAGGGAGGAGGGAGGAGGGAGGAGGGAGGAGGAGGGAGGAGGGAGAAGGAGGAGGGGGGAGGAGGAGGGAGGAGGAGGGAGGGAAGGGAGGAGGGAGGAGGGAGGAGGATGAGGAGGAGGAG